ATGTATGTATTTGTACACAAAGTGGTCTGAGAAGATATACACCAAATGGTTACATTTATGAGAAGGAATGAGATTAGGTATGGGTTAAGGAATGTAAAAGTGTAGTTATTACATCTATAATTTGTAATTTTGTTTGAATTTTTATAAATAATTTTATGCATTATTTATATAAATAAAGTAAGATTTGATGCAGCAAGGATGAAAATTTTCTCCTCCATTTCAAAAAATAAAGAATAGCAATTTGACACCCTAAATGGTGAGGAATATGACTGATCTCTTCTTCTGTGTTTCTCCATGGAGGAAAGAGAAAGGGCAGATGCTTGAAGTAATACTAAAATCCTCAGGGGGCTCATCTTCGAAACAAGCTTTAAAAAAGGACAAAACATCCTTGGTTATGCTATTATAGCATTTCATAGTAGCAGACAAGAGCTGGTTCGTTTTAACACTACGACTCAAAGGTAATTATTATACTTTATTAGAGCATTTAATCAACATGTTCACCTTTGGACCAAGTGTAGAATAAACTCGTAAAGGCTAAGTATTATGTAGAAAGACAAAAGCCTATCACAGTGCTGGTCTTCCTTTTCAAGATTTTTCCGAACTGTCACTTTAAATTTAGAGATTTTCAATATTTTTATACAACTATTTGATTAACAAGATTTTTGTTATGCCTGGCCAGCATGGCTCAGTGGTTGAGCATCGACCCATGAACCCAGGAAGTCCCGGTTCAATTCCTGGTCAGGGCATATGCCTGGGTTGCAAGCAAGATCCCTAGTGTGGGGCATGCAGGAGGCAGTAGATCAATCATACTCTCTCATAATTGATGTTTCTCTCTGTCTCTCCCTCTCCCTTCCTCTCTGAAATCAATAAAAAGATATATATTTTAAAAATCCATGTTATGATCATTACGATAGCCCTATGAGACCCAGTTATAAACGGCATGGAAAGATGAGAGACTAATGAGCATGTCTCCTTTGGAAAATACAGGGCAAGCCGCCACCACCCTGTCACAACCTGACGGACACCTGCCATTGCCACTGAGGGACAATGTCTCTAAATTGAAGCACCATGTTTGAGAAGAGAAAAACCTTTCTGATGGTTAAGGCTAGGAGCCAGAAACTGTCCTTTACAATTACCAACCATGCAATAAGAAATCACGTGTAGTTCTAAAGAACTCTTGAATGCACACAGTTCAATGAGGGAATCCACCCACACATCATTTACATCTCTAATACATTCCTTTTTTAATAACTGATTTTAAAGGCATTCTTTGGGCAGAAACTTCAAAGAAAAATAAAATAAGAATAAAAACCCTATAGGTGATTTGTTTTTATTCCCTGTAGAACATTACAAAAAGTTCTGGAGTGACTATATTTCAGAGCTTGTTACGTTAAAATTTAAAAATAAACAAATTTACTCAGAAAAAAACTTCCCTAATGTACTGTTAAGTGCTATCTTATGTATATTTTATTTTCTTCACTTTTCTCCCTTCTGTGGCTTGTACAGGATAGAAATGGTGCGGGGGAAATTTTTTTGAAAACCCTATTCTTAATGTCACTCTCTCTTTTTTTAATCACTAGTGAAAATTGCCTTGGCATTCACAAGGAGCAGGGAAGATCATGTAGGAGTTTGCCTTAAGCTAAGTATAAAGGCGTCCACAAAATTGGAAACGAAAAATACAAAAAACAATTAGCCATTTCACTAGGAATCAGTGTGTGGTTTTATTACAGGTTAACTTATTACTTCTTTTTATTTTATGAGTACATAAGAGTCATTTCTCATCATGGAGAAAATCAGGAAGCACAAATGCTACTACACAGTGAGAAACAAATATTCTGCCTCGTGTTTAAAAAAGATATTTTCTTGTGCTAAATGAGCTTGAATGTAAAGGGCAGTTGACACCGATACCCACTTACTTAGATGGAATAAATCAAATGTATCTATAATTTGACCTCTGTGGGTATATTTCACCTGGTTATTTCTTTTCAGAAAAGAAAACGGTGCATAGAACTTTTTCCCAAGATGATCTGTAAAATGAATGTGAGTTGGGCTTCCGAGTGCAAATTGTGGAAAACAAACTTTGAGAGTTAGAGATTTTTGTTCCTCCTTCTAACTTTTTAACCGAGCTCGTGATGCATAAGATTGTCTACCCCAATTTTCATGTTCTATTACTAATCTCCTTTCCTTCATTATTTTGAATTTAAGCTCTGAATTTCCAGTTTGGAAATGTCATATTTTTCAAAGCCCATGCTTTATCATAATGAAGCAGAGCTCTCACATCAAAATGAATGTACTGCCACTTGACAGAGAAGTTAAAAGTGAAATTTCCAATAACTGTCTCATACCAAACATAACATGTCTTTTGATGTTGTTCTTTGAGCCTCACATTTTGAAATTGGGAACCTCAAAAAAATTACAGAATTTAAGAAAAAAAATCATAGGGGGAAATGACCTTCTTAGGTCCAGGACTTTTCCCTTCCCGTACGTTTTAATGAGTTCAAGCTATAGGAACTCAAAGATATGCCTTTAAAAGTACTTTATGAAATGCTATGCTTACAAGTCAGACATTCTGTGGAATATTTTGCAATTCCCTTTGCATGAGCAGAAGTTTTAATCAACAAATTTTAGTCAATAAGAACACTTTCCACCACCATTTCCTATAATCAGGGGAAATCGTTTGATTTAGTAATTATATTAGTGTGTTCTACACAAGGAAATATATCATAATGACTTATAAGTAAGAGTTCCCATTTTCACCTAATATTTTACTTAATTTTAATGGACTATACTTAGTTTTTAAATGTTTGAAGGCTACATTTAAAATATTTATCTTCTGACACACAAAAAATTAGATGATATATATATGTACATATATATACACATATATACATATATATAATATCTTGGTTATTCTGCTGTTTTTTTTGCAATGTCTATCTATTTTCAGGAGTGCTATTCATTTGCTCTGTTATAGAGAAGGGAGACTTTAAAAAAAAAGAATACAAACCTCCAAGGCACTTTCAAAAAATTCAGAGGTCAACCTGAGGAGCTCCCTTCTTCTTTCAAGCATGGAGACCAGGGCTGCCCATGCTTCGCCCAGGGTGCTGGCCATGGCATCGTACACCTGACTCTGATCCTTATTCTCTTCTGCTGTCTTGTCCGCTTCCTGCAGGAGCTCCCATACCCCATCTTCCAAAGCCTAAGTCCAAGGAAAAAACAAGGTATAAGGCAGAGGACCAGTCAATGTAAAAATACAGCATCACATTTTAAACACTTGGATATTTGAAACTGTATGTGGTCTATGACGGTCTAGAAGAGAATTTATAAACTCCAGCTGCTATGCAGGCAGGCACATCAAGCAGGCAGGAGGGAGCAGTGGAGATTATGGTAAACCAGGGAGCTTGCCAGGCTAAAGGCATTCACATCAATTGTTCAAACACAAGCGATGTATCAAAGGTGCACATTACATTCCCAGGGGTACAGAATACTGTGTTAACCTCACATTAAAAAAAAAAAAAGCTGCCCAGCCTGTGTTGCTCAGTGGTTGAGCGTCAACTCATAAACCAGAAGGTCACATGACAGTTTTAAACATGTTGGTGCTTAACAACAGAGCATTAAAATATGTAAGTAAAAACTGACATAACTATGAGGAGAAAGAGACAAATCTACCATTATAGTTGGAGACTTCAACATTTCTCCATCAATAACTAAAATATCCAGCAAGCAGAAAATTATTGAGGATATAGAAATAAACAACATCCCCAGTCAACTGAATATAACTAACATGTATAGACTACTATGTCCAACAATAGAGAAATATACATTCTTCTCCAGCTCATGTGAAACATTTACTAAGATAGACTATCTGCTGATTTTTATCTAGGCTTTTTCGAATGAATTTTACTTTTTTTATTTATATCTTCCTATATGTTTTGAATTTTTTATGAAAATATATTATTTTTATCATTGGAGGAAATATATGTTCATTTTTGCAACTATGTAAAAGAGACCTATTCAGAAAAACAAAAAGAAAACATGCCATTGCTATACTGAAATAGTGAACCCGAGTTATTTCCAATTAAAATTCTAGAACAGTTTTTTCCTTCCTTCTACTTTCAAATTATATCCTAAAACATAAACACTTCAACTGTATTATTATTCCCAGCTATTTGCTGTTTCTTTCTGTAAAAGGATCGTACCCTCATGCCTTCTAACATCAGACTTGTCCATGTGACTTGCTTAGACTAATGAAATGTAAACAGTTTTGTGTGCTACTTCTGAGCAGAAGTTTTAAGAACCGATGAGGATCCTATCATGAAGACATGCAAAACTGAATTGTAATTACCATGAAGCAAACATGTAATGTAAGAAATAAAATCTGTGACTATGAGCCACTGCTGTTGGGGGATTATTTGTTACCCTACGATTGCCAGATAGATTGACAAATGTAAAATCATTTGTTAGACATTATCATTCAAGGTTCTCTTATGATTAATACAGAAGGAAAACAATTCATAATGCAACAAAACAAAATATCTAGACCAGAGTCTGACAATTTCATAGCTAAATCAAAAAAGTCTCTGGCAGATTGTGTTGGACATGCCAATGAGTTCTTCAGAGACATCCACTGAATACATGCCATCTCTGTTCTTTTTGGTCTTTAGGCTAAAACAAACTAATAATTGTCTAAAGTGCCAGTCGAGATCACCAAATGCATATACTTTCTGTTTTTTAAAAAATATATTTATATTAATTTCAGAGAGGAAGGGAGAGGGAGAGAGAGATAGAAATATCAATAATGAGAGAGAATCATTGATCAGCTACTTCCTGTACACCCCACTGGGGATCAAGCCTGCAACCCGGGCATGTGTCCTGACCTGGAATCGAACCTGGTTCATAGGTCAGCACTCAACCATGCCTGCCAGGTGCATTTTCTTTCTTATACAGCTGTTTGAGAGCATGATATCTAGGCATTTCCTTCCTCTGTGACAAGCTTTAGGTTATCGTAAGGGCTGATTAACTTTGTATTGTGCATGTGTTTCATTTCATACTTTTTGTCAGTGGAATAACTTAGTTTCCACATATACTAGCCAAAAATATGTAAGGAGAAGAAAAAGATTATATTAGGAGTTTTAATTTTAAGATATGTCATTTGTATGACAAAGACTGTAGTAAGAAATAAAATTAGGAGAACTTGATAATTCCATGCTGGAGATGCAGAAGAGAATAATAAATAATAGGCAATGAATTCATTCTCGAGCAAAAAGCAAGCGAACACTTAACCTTTTAGTGATATTTTTCAGATTTGACATGAAGGTGATAAAATAAATCTGAAGTTGGCTATTTCCATGGCTAATGAGGTTGTTTCTGGAATTATTTTTTACATAGAATTCTTTCAGCCCTCTTAAACACATAGGACGTAGTTCTTCTTAATACTGTTCTTTTCCCACTTAAGTGACACTTTATAAATGATGCAGAGGTTTTGGGGGCAAGCAGCTTGGAGGACTACAATACTGGCCTCCAATATTTCCCATGACCTCCAATATGAACTGCAAAATGTTCTATTCTCTGGAATTCCAAGGCCAGAACATGATTGCAGAACCCTCTGGATTTAATTTGGTACAAGTTGCACTTTCTTGGAGATTTTCTTCAAGAAAACCAGCAGACATTTTGCTTTAAGGATTGGCAGAGAACAGCTCTAACTTCTCTTGGAATTTAGATTACTCTTGGGGTGCTGGGACCAGAAGCCAAGTGCAGTTCAATGTTCCCCGGGGCCAATCCAACACCATCTGAAACACTGGAGGAGAGAGGGATTCAAACAGAGTGAACTAGGCAGGATTCATAGAGCAGGAATATTTTCCAGCCAATCCAAAATCTCAGCATAATGATCAATTGAAGTATATTTCTGTGAGATTCCTAAAATGGAGCATAATCTGAACCCAAAGCCAAAATACAGCATCTGGGTGTTCTATATACAACACGTGGGTCTCTGTGAGACGTCTTCAGCTTTGATAAAGGTGTTTGGAAGGCTTTTAGTTCTTTGAGTGTTTAATTTTCTATGGTTGGCCATGTATCATGTCACCCTATTGGTCAGGCCTTCCCTTCTGAATCTGGTGTCCTACATATGCTGCCTGCACTGAGGAAATACTGTTCTTATTGCTCATTGCTGAGTTCCCAAGGAGATTAGCTCTTCTTCCCCATCACCACCACCACAAGTAATAAGATATTATCATTTAGATAGCCTGAAACACAAATGCAAATCATGTACTAATGAGAGGGCTAGAGGGCATAACACCCCATACATGCTCAAAAAAATGATTTCAAGTCTGTAAAGGAAACACAAAAACATAAATTCTGTCCTGCTCAGATTTATGGCTCCAACACCTATCACTGGTTTTCAACAATAAATGCCCCGAAACGAGTGTTTGAAAACATGTTGAGGCATTTTTAGTTGTGACAACGTGTTTGTGTGGCTTGTGGGGGAGGGGTCTGATGAAGGATTGTCCCACCAAACAGCAACCCTACTGAGAAACACAGACTGCACTGCACATAGTAGGGGCTCAATAAATGTTTGTGGTCGAACATGGGGAAGAGGTCTAAGAGGTTTCTTTCTCTTGAAAATCATTTAGTTTTATTTCACAGGCTGTTAGAGGAGAGTTGAAAGGCCAATTGTTTCCATCTGACATCATCTTCAGGAAGCCTCTCTAACAAACCACAATGCGGCACCATCCCAGAGCAGCAGCACTTCATTCCTTTTAGAACAAACCTTTCCGTAGTTATTAGAAAAAGTTTTCTGGGACTGGACCAAAATTTGCCTCCTCATTCTCCAGATTGCAACACATCCCAGCGTTCTAATTGTGAAAAACTCCCTGACAACATCCTTCACGTCTTCTATCTCTCTTACTTCTTATTTAAGAGTTCTGAAGAGTTCCTTTAAAAGTGCATAGGATTTATATACTATAAAAACTAAAAGCAGCAAGCCGGAGGATATGATTTTGAACAGTTGAAGCGAGCGTAGTGCTTCACTCCATCTCTTCCAACTGCCTCTCTCAGTTGCTGTCAGCTATAGATGGAGTTATTGTCTAAATGGAGGGAAGAAGCTCTTCCAGCTTAAAGACTATAAAAAATCATTAGGCCAAAAGGTGAATTAATATCTGAAAACACATCTAAAAGAGGAGAAATCTCCTTTTGGCATGTCTTATTTATCATTGCAGTCATAATACTTCAATACAAGTAGTATTTGTATAGTGCTTTACAATTAAATTTTTTTATTATCACCAGAGTATGTATAACATCCTCAATCAACAGGCACCTGTAGAAACTATTTCACTTAAATGGAAAGGGTGCTTTTTGTCCTCCAATGAAGCTAAAACCAAAGTAGCACTTGTTCAAATACAATAATAACTTCAATGACTCTGATGGTTCAGAGAAGGTAACATCTAATGGAATCTGAAGTTATTCAAGAAGGTAGTCATTCATCCATGCTCTCATTCATTCAGCAAGAATTGTTCAATCATCTCTTAAACGGTACAAATTGTGTTAATATATATAAAACATTGAGAAGGGGTACATCTAGTTATGATTGTGTTGTTTTCCTTTCTTTCTTAGCACTCATCCACTTCTCATACCTGAATGGCTTCCATCCCCACCATCCTACTGAAATACATATTCTTGTATTCGTCACAATGACCTCATATTTGTCACGGCCAACAATCCTCATTTAATCACTTCTTTGTGATTAATACTGTTATGTGCTCCTTAAATTTTTCCCCTTTCATTTGCTTTTAGTACACTCTGCTTTTCCTCCTGTGCTTCAGCTCTCTTTCACAGATGCACTTTCTCTGCCTGTTTTTAAGTGTCTAGTTGTTCCAGGAGACAATTGTCTTTGCTCTTTTCTTTTTACTTAACAAGTGAGTGTCAGGGGAGGGGCTGAGGAAACTATATCAAAACCAACTGTGTGACTTTTTCAAACTATACTTAGCTTCTTCCACAAGTTCTGATGTGGTCCTGGGGACAGAGGGCAAGTGACCCCAAAGTTTGAATGGACTATCACAATGAGCCACTACTACTGATTAGATTGTCTCCAAATAATACATAGGAAGGTGGGGTACAGAAGGAAGAGTAAGCATCACAGTTCCACACCTCTTGCCAAGTGAATGCATACTTTTTTCAATGGCTTCCCGTGGATTTTAAGATAAA